TTGCAGGGACTTGCTGACGCCTTCATGCTGATGCGCTATCCATTCACGTCGCCTGAGGCCCGCGATTTGAACCGCAGGATCTTCGAGGTTATCTATTACGCTGCTCTTGAAGCCTCCTGTGAACTTGCCGAGAAGTATGGTTAGTGTGGTGCTCCTAAAATACATTTATTTGTCTAGGGCTCGGCCCCTGTATAATGTGCTACTTATAGGACCCTATGAAACTTACGAAGGTTGCCCAGTGTCTAAGGGAATGCTTCAGTTCGATATGTGGAACGTTAAGCCAACGGATCAGTGCGACTGGGATACGCTCAGAGAGAAGATCAAGAAGTGCGTTGTCAAAGGTTAAATTTGCCCCAAGGGTTTATGTTGCCATTTTCTCCAAGAATGGAAGTTCGTTAACGTGAGTTTGTTGATGCCTCCCATGCCACTGCGTCGACGGCTCAAATCCTGCATGCAACGTAGTCCAGTCGAGCGCTGTAATATTCTCGAATATACAGCTCGAAGTGAGTCGCTGTTCAGGCCGATTTCCATAATTTCAATCCGCATTTGCTCAAGGACTTGGTGGATCTGGGCCTATGGGATGATGATATGAAGAATCAGCTAATTGCTAACAACGGATCAATTGCCAAGATAGCTGTGAGTTTTTATTACTGTTTTGGTACTTATGGGATTATCTAGTATATGTAAATCGAGCACTCGTGAAGGGTATTCCCGATCACACATCAAGCGGCTCTACCAGACGGTATGGGAGTTGCCGCAGAAGGATATAATTGAAATGGCTGCTGACAGGTAGGTACAAACCTGGCTACTTTATTCAGAATACTGTTAAGGTGACCTAGATGTTTTTGTTTACAGAGGAGCTTTCATTGATCAATCACAGTCACTGAACATTCATATCGCTCGACCAAGCTACGCAAGTATCACGTCCATGCACTTTTACGGATGGAAGAAGGTACTAAAAACCGAATATTTTGACTATTGATATTGTTCAGCACGCTCGCGACATTCGCACCGGAACCAAATTTTCAACGTGAATGCTGCAATGTATCAAGTCGACTAGTTGGGGAAAAACTACACTAGTTAGCGCGTGATGCTACGACGCAGATGGCCTGGGCGGTATGGGTTCGCACGGAGTCATACCCGTTCTCCACCAGTTGTTGAAGGAAACAACCAACAAGACTTCATCGTAACAGTCTTTTCCACATATTTTGTCATTCCGCGACGAATCCATACAGCCTGACACACCTCTTCTTCCGCAGCGAACCGGACTACGCTTTCTCCAAACTGGCCCCTCCGTAGTTTTCAAACTTTTCCATTGTCTGAAACTCGTTTTCATCTATTTCATCAACAATTTATCTTCAGGGGTTGAAAACTGGCATGTACTATTTGCGCACGAAACCAGCTGTGAATGCTGTGCAGTTCACTGTTGACAAGGAAGCTCTGAAAGCGAAGGAGCAGAAAGATCAGGCGGTTGGTTTCTCACCCATCATTAAAATACTTAAAGAAGGATCTGAACTCACCATTAGAGTGAAGTCTTGCTTTATCGCTCCGAATGATTTTGCCCTTTTAGGCCGGTGATGCTGCTCGAGCAATAGCTGCTATGACAGTTGAAGAAGAAGGATGTCTTATGTGCTCCGGTTGATTATTGATCTCTCAATATTGTTTTCCTTGTACCATTTGAAACGGTGTTATCTTATTACTTTGATCTTGGTGACATTAACATCCTTTCATTTATTTTTCCCGTTTTTCCCATTCTCACTTCCCAATCTAACCTAAACAACGAGTAAAATGACCTCATATGACAGGTTGTAAATATTGAATTTCGTGGCTTTAGCTATTTGTCTCATTAGCCTTGCATGTAACGATAAAAGGTTTCGCCACAGTTTTCTGTAAAGCTTACTATATTGAGAGCTTTCTCATCAGGGAGGAGGATTATGTGAGCTTGTTATCCTGGAATAGCATATAAGCTTCAGCACAGATTGTCTTTAAAGATCAACAGAGCGCTGATTTGGGTTCCTCAATGTCTTATTTGAACACCAGTCGGATCGGCGGGCTTCGCCGCCGATTCCTCCTTCCGGGTGTGAAGTGGGTCCCGGCGAAAAGTTTTCCATGAGAGGGAGGGCCAGTCGGATCGGCCGGCTTCGCCGGCCGATCCTCCTTCCGGGTGTGAAGTGGGTCCCGAGAAAAAAAAAAAAATGAGAAAAAAAAAAAAAAAAAGAAGTTTTTTCCATGAGAGGGAGGGCCAGTCGGATCGGCCGGCTTCGCCGGCCGATCCTCCTTCCGGGTGTGAAGTGGGTCCCGGCGAGAAGTTTTTCATGAGAGGGAGGGCCAGTCGCGAATCGGCCGGCTTCGCCGGCCGATCCTCCTTCCGGGTGTGAAGTGGGTCCCGGCGAGAAGTTTTCCATGAGAGGGAGGGCCAGTCGGATCGGCCGGCTTCGCCGGCCGATCCTCCTTCCGGGTGTGAAGTGGGTCCCGGCGAGAAGTTTTCCATGAGAGGGAGGGCCAGTCGGATCGGCCGCTGCTCGGCGATCCTCCTTCCGGGTGTGAAGTGGGTCCCGGCGAGAAGTTTTCCATGAGAGGGAGGGCCAGTCGGATCGGCCGGCTTCGCCGGTCCTCCTTCCGGGTGTGAAGTGGGTCCCGGCGAGAAGTTTTCCATGAGAGGGAGGGCCAGTCGGATCGGCCGGCTTCGCCGGCCGATCCTCCTTCCGGGTGTGAAGTGGGTCCCGGCGAGAAGTTTTCCATGAGAGGGAGGGCCAGTCGGATCGGCCGGCTTCGCCGGCCGATCCTCCTTCCGGGTGTGAAGTGGGTCCCGGCGAGAAGTTTTCCATGAGAGGGAGGGCCAGTCGGATCGGCCGGCTTCGCCGGCCGATCCTCCTTCCGGGTGTGAAGTGGGTCCCGGCGAGAAGTTTTCCATGAGAGGGAGGGCCAGTCGGATCGGCCGGCTTCGCCGGCCGATCCTCCTTCCGGGTGTGAAGTGGGTCCCGGCGAGAAGTTTTCCATGAGAGGGAGGGCCAGTCGGATCGGCCGGCTTCGCCGGCCGATCCTCCTTCCGGGTGTGAAGTGGGTCCCGGCGAGAAGTTTTCCATGAGAGGGAGGGCCAGTCGGATCGGCCGGCTTCGCCGGCCGATCCTCCTTCCGGGTGTGAAGTGGGTCCCGGCGAGAAGTTTTCCATGAGAGGGAGGGCCAGTCGGATCGGCCGGCTTCGCCGGCCGATCCTCCTTCCGGGTGTGAAGTGGGTCCCGGCGAGAAGTTTTCCATGAGAGGGAGGGCCAGTCGGATCGGCCGGCTTCGCCGGCCGATCCTCCTTCCGGGTGTGAAGTGGGTCCCGGCGAGAAGTTTTCCATGAGAGGGAGGGCCAGTCGGATCGGCCGGCTTCGCCGGCCGATCCTCCTTCCGGGTGTGAAGTGGGTCCCGGTGCTTCGCCGGTCGAATGATCGAAAAAAAATTGTTTTGAGAATTACCGCACTTTGCCGTTTCACTGCTAGTATATACCCCCCCTAGCAGACAGTCAACAAAATTTTCTATACAGCGGTGGGTCTATATATTATGAATTATTGCCGACGGCACCAACCACTTGGTATACTCCCTACGGTTATCCCTTACCAACACCATCTGCCCAACCATTGCTCATTTTCACTTACTCCCCATTTCCTGGAGTTTTTCGGATGTATTTTGAGGGTTTTTATCCCCGGCACCGTTCACTTCGGCGCACGCCCTGCCCATCGTGGGTGTGCTTCATTCATTCCGTCCGCCAACTGTTTGCCTATCGTTTCCCACAATTTCCGCTCTCCGGGATCTTCTGGAACCGAATTACGAATTTTTGAAAGTTCTGTAGCGAGCACCGCCCACCTATAGCACGCCCCGTCCCATCACGGGTGTGACTCCCTCATTTCATCCGCCAACTGACTGCTTATCCTTACCCACAATTTCCGCTCTCCGGGATCTTCTAGAACCGGACTACGAATTTTTGAAATATGTAGCTCACAACTGTGCGCACGCCCCGCCCACAGTGGGCGGGGCTTAGCTCGGTTCACGTGTGTTCCGTACATCTTGGCCCATGCCCTACCCAACCCACCCTTGACCCGTCCCTTCTAGCTGGCTCTTCAGGTGATTCCGAATTTCCGGACAGACAGACAGACAAACAGACAAACAGACGTTGCCGTTTATATATAGTAGGATAGAGATCATCAAGTACCCTCCCAATGGTAAACAGCTGTGAAACTACTGTATAGTCAATGTGTGGTCTGTCGGTATTGGATGTTTAGTGGATGAACGGAAGCAGGGTGCATTTGCCTAAATTGTTGTGCAGTAAATAGTGGGTAAATAAACAAATAAATAAACATACTCATTTACGAATTTTGACTCCCATTCACTATGGCACATACCGTTCACTGCTATTATGCCACAGCTGTGTTTTGGGAACCGAATTATGAATTATTGCCGACGGCACCAACCACTTGGTATACTCCCTACGGTTATCCCTTACTAACATCATCTGCCCAACCATTGCTCATTTTCACTTACTCCCCATTTCCTGGAGTTTTTCGGATGTATTTTGAGGGTTTTTATCCCCGGCACCGTTCACTTCGGCGCACGCCCTGCCCATCGTGGGTGTGCTTCATTCATTCCGTCCGCCAACTGTTTGCCTATCGTTTCCCACAATTTCCGCTCTCCGGGAACCGAATTACGAATTTTTGAAAGTTGTGTAGCGAGCACCGCCCACCTATAGCACGCCTCGCCCATCACGGGTGTGACTCCCTCATTTCATCCGCCAACTGACTGCTTATCCTTTCCCACAATTTCCGCTCTCCGGGATCTTCTAGAACCGGACTACGAATTTTTGAAATATGTAGCTCACAACTGTGCGCACGCCCCGCCCACAGTGGGCGGGGCTTAGCTCGGTTCACGTGTGTTCCGTACATCTTGGCCCATGCCCTACCCAACCCACCCTTGACCCGTCCCTTCTAGCTGGCTCTTCAGGTGATTCCGAATTTCCGGACAGACAGACAGACAAACAGACAAACAGACGTTGCCGTTTATATATAGTAGGATTACATTAGCGCCAGGGGTGAAGAAGTTTTCAAGTTTTTTCGTTTCCCACCAATTGTGGTTACCAGCCTACCGCCACGATTGGTGGAAAACGTTCTGGGCGCACACGCCCCTTCATTCGCAGCGAACAAAATAGCACGTGCCTGATTCTCATCATGAGGAGACCTATTGTTAGCCGATGCAATATTTTCGGGGATTCTCCGAACTAGTTGTGTAGCGCTATGGATACTGAGGCGTGTATGGATGCTGAGGGTTGGGTTTGGAGCTACGTCAGCCGGTTCTCCACCATTTGGTGAAGTGGGGCAATCGCGGAGTTATGAAATGGTCAAACTTTGAAGGGGAGACTTAGAATCGAGTTAGTGCGTTTCGATTTCGCTAATTCCGTTCTACATGCTTTTTGTGGAATTTCGACTCCCAGGTTGGTACATGTCCGTTACTTCAATTATAGGAGTCCACAGTACGTTACTGGTATACGTAAATGTGACAGGACCACTTCCTATGATAGCTGAATAGCGTGAGGCGTGCATTGTCCGCACAACAGCTTGATGCAAAAAAAACAACAAAGAAAAACACAGAAGGGCGGGGCACATCGTTGTTGGGGATTCCTCAACATGAGGGGGGTCGTCGCTGGGAGAGGGCCCCCCTCCCTCTGCTCGACAGCAAAATTGGGCGCAGTTTGTCGACGGGGGGGCATTTTGCTTTCCATAGATGTGTCGACCCATCTAGGTAGCCGTTTCTCGAGTTGACACGTTTTAGGATAGTGGCTAGACGATCTTACTTCAGCTTCACAAGAGTTCACAAGTTTTACCAGAGTGAGATTTGTAAACCGGAACTAGGGAAGCAATGATAATACAAAATGCCCCCCCCCCTCCCCGTCGACAAACAGCGCCGCAAAATTGTAATAAAAAGTAGGGAAATTCTCAGGAAAGTCTGGAAAAAGAGGTAGGAAGTTGGAAAAGGGTAAGGTGAGGAAGGGGTACGGACTCGACCAAAATCCTCAACCAATGATGTGATTTAGAGGAGTGAAGCAGTGTTGTATACGGGATGCACCACGCATCCCAAATATTTCGACTCACAATGACGACGCTTTTTTCAGTTTGGTCTATGATGTGAGTGGGAGGGGGAGGGACTGTAGAGATGTACGTGTTAGTGATCCTGAGCTCCCAAATGAGTCTAGGTACTAATTCATCGACACCTCCCAACCTTTCTTCCATGACAAAACGCCTGAGATTACACCTCCCCCCGCTTCCTGGAACGCCACGGCCCCCAGCGTACACAGCGAAAAAACTATCGAAGTTAACTACACAGCTTAGAAGAGATCTTAAATTGATGAGAGGAGGTTTTAAGTATCCACACTTCGGTCTAAATTAAAATATTTTCTGCCAGAAAAATGCTGTTGGTTAACCCTCAGAGGTGGTGGATTCTTAAAATTACCGATATAATATTCAGAGGATCCAGAGGACACCCGTTTTGATTTCGGAGCATCCCCTCAGCACGCTGACTATTCAAACGAAAGCTGGGATGTGCCAACGGGTGACGATCATGTCACTCAACATAGCGGTTGGGCATAACAGCTACTGTTTGAAGTATTGA